GGCTACTAAAAGATTTCTTGCTACGTTTTATAGTTATGGTGTTTTATAGTTTACAAACTGGTACTTTCTAACTAAATGTTCTGTTTTTAATGATATCTTCTGACTCTCAACACTGCTATCGTTTTCCTTTTTTATTTTGCCCGTTCAAAAACAAAAGTAGAAGTGTGTCTTCAATATGTATATTCTGTTTCTGAGGTATAACATAGTAGTAGAAAGTCAGATCAGATAAAATGATTCCAAAGTGAAGTGTGTGTGTGGGAGGGGAATCATTCCATGCATGTTAAAGATATTGCAAGTAGAGTCTACCTATTTTTAATTAAAAAGAAGAAAAATGGGAAAACTTGGAGATGAATCAAGAAGCACAACAATTCCCAACTAACTATTTCACTGAGGTGCCAATCCTAAACACACTTACCAGATGGTAAAGCCCAATGAATACAGTGGGACTTACTTCTAAGTAAACCTGTATAGGATTGTGTGATCCCCATCCTCCTAATTTGGGCAGAAATACCTGTATGATGAGAACCAAGGGTATTCCGAGCAAAGGATATATTATATAACCTGAATGACTCAGAGCTAGTTCACACAGATACATCATTGTGTGTGTGATCACAAGCTCTATAATCATGGGAAGATGTAGAATCATGTGCTTAGAATGACCTTGTTAAAATGGCAATCATTTCTCATCAGTATGTGTTGAATGACCTTTTAGCTTGAAAATTTTTGGAAGCACTGCACTTGGTATGTCATCCCACAGCCTAGTATTGATCAATTGGCAGTTAAAGTGATGGTCATCTATCAAAGCAGGAGTAGTCACTAGCACCCCTTGTGAATGTCTGCAGGCAGGAGAACTATGGTTAACTCTTCAAATACTGAACTCTTGGTTCCTGAGACAACCAGGCCTTGGATTGTTTGGAGATGCAGTATGGGCTGTGCACTGATTTTGCTATCCTGTGTGTACTTCTCCTCTGTTTTGTGTTATAGCTGTCACTCTAGATTCACTTTGAACCCCACAACTAAGTATGAAGAACTTGAGCAGATCCTTCAAGGTTTAATTTGCCTCTTAGCTAAGGACAGTATATTGGATGCTGTTTACATATTATCCATTGTAGTGAATTATATATTTGGCTGCAAATTGTCTTTTTTTATTTACTTCTCTTTGAGTTCTGTTTCTATGTGGTTCTTGTTGTTTTTTCCTACTGTCAAGTGACTAGTGAATATAAATGGAAATTTTCCACTGGGTAAAGAAGTATTTTGAGACAATAAATGTTGCAGAAGTTGGCAAATAAAATAAAATAAAATAATTCAGCCTGAATGGCTGAATTTCATTATGGAATTGACAATCTCAGCAAAATCCCATGTGTTGGTCAGTGCCAGCTTCTGAATTACAAGGGAGAAATGCACTGCTTTTGACCCCCTGTACATTCAAAATTGGTATCTCCACTAAATTCAGTGGGAGTCCCCTGGCCCCTTCAGTAAATCCATTGAAAGCCATGAGCCCCACAATATCACTCACTTTACCAAAGTGATAACTTGTCGTATGGTTCTGTCACCGTTTTGAAAGCTAAAGAAGAAGAGGCCTATTTTGGTTGGATCTAGAGGCCCTAGGAGAAGAGGAAGAGGTTGATTTCCATAGATCTTAGGCATATGTCAGCAACTGGTTCTCAGCTTTTTTTTCCTTAGAGCTGGCCCCAGAAATATCTGAATGTTCTTTTGCCAGAAATACAGGCTTTCTTTCTTTCTTTCTTTCTTTCTTTCTTTCTTTCTTTCTTTCTTTCTTTCTTTCCAGCTTTGCTTTTAGAGTCTGTAAAGCACAACAAAGGGTTTTTAACATGGCAGCTCCATGTCCCACAGAATCGGCCCCTTCGTCCCCAGAAAGAGAAATTCCTCTGATGCTTCCAGTTACGGTGGTTGCACACAACACTTCTTCTTCTCTGAAAAGTTGTGTTTTTCTTCTTCTTCAACTTATGTTTCCATGGCTATTCCAAGGTACAACTGTTTGGGGCACAGAAATTATTTCCTCAGCTCTTGTGCTTCACCAACATTGAAAAATAAAATTAATTTTTTTAAAAAATGAGGCTTTTTGGTGCCAAAAATAAACAAAAATTGGAATGTATAACCTGTAAATTATATACCAAAACCATTTTTTCCCAAAAGAGAGGAAAATAATAGCTTTATTTCAAAGGAGAGAAAGACAGGAGGTATCTTTGGCATTTAAGAGTCTGTATTGTGGTCATTAAAAGAATACAAACTAGGAGAGATGTTTGTGAATCTTCGTGTCCTTTTGACATAAATGAGATTTTTTTTCCCTACCTGTTTCTGGTTTTTGGTTTGTTTAGGGTTTTTTGTTTGTTTGTTTTTGCCTATAAACCCAATACAGTCCAAAAGGAAAGGAGAACTCTTACTATAGAAAAAAAACTTTTTTAAAAAGAAGAAAAGATGGCAACAATTTTGAAATACTTTCCAAAACACGGACAGAAGACACCTCCCTGCCCTGTCACCTGAGTGATTCGTTGAAAGATTCTGTTTTCCATACACAACATCATCTCAGTTCAAAAACCCCACAAAAGCCCTGATTGGTTGTATTCTTTCACTGTATGGTTCTGTATTGAGTGTCAATCCATGTTGAAACTTTGTGAAAATTATTGTGTACAACAGTATTTTCTTGTGTATTGCTTTTACTCCTTTTCTGTGAATTGTCCCTCTTTTCCCCTTTCTTTTTATTTTTCCTTTTGTTATTTTTTCCCCTTCTGGTAATGTCTTTAAAAAAAAACAGAAAAGAAACTGACGTGTTGTAGAACTATATGTAACCTATTCCTTAGTCTCATATTATAGGTATGTTATAAGAATGGATATTTTACTTGGCTTTAGAATGTTTTACACGAAAACTAATTCTTAACCAATCAAGTTCTTGCTACTAAAAAAAAAATTGCTTGTGTTTCTCATCATGACGTTGTGTGCTTCTAATTAATAATCATTTTCGTTGTAGAAAAATGGAGTGAATTTATATTAGACTTGAAAACTAATAATAGCATTGTAAATTTATGAGATGATTTTAACAGAAAAAAAGCATTATAGAAGAATATAGTTATTTTAATTGTAATATTACTAACTGTAGGGTAAGAAAGGGGGTCCCATTGTGGTGAACTATGTTATAGCTTGTTATTCACAGTTTCTTTTGATCATTTTTTCGGTCTCTGAAGTGAAACGAGTTATTAATCAGAATTTGTAAACTCACATATGCATATTGTATATGTGTAGAAATGTAATCACACTTTGTCTTGGAATTACATTAAACTGTTTTAAGTCACTGAATTGCTTGCTTGTCTTTTAACTGGCATGGGTATGGCATAATATCTTCAGACTTGCTTTTCAGTTCTTCTAAAGAAAGGGGAATCATGTGACCATCCCAGCTGTTGTGGAACTGTAAATCCCAGCATTCTTTACTACTAGCTGTGCTGGCTGGGGCTGCTGGGATATGCAATTCAACCACATCTGGAAGGCTGCAGATTTCCCACCTTTGAGCTTGCTTGATCTGACTGTTACCTTTCTGAAAAAGCTGAAGAATGCAAATCTTTAAAACACTACTTTTAAAATGAATAAATATAAATGACATGCTGAGGTCATTTGTAACTGAGCTGTGGTGAAAAAATGTTTTGTTTTGGTTTTTCTCAGTTGCTCAGTTACAAAGAGATTCAGCCTGGCATTATATCTGTTTGACTTAAGAGTAACTTCCAAGCTCTGGAAATATGCAGAGATTGAGCCTTCAAAGTCTGTCACTTGTTGCTGACATCTGACATCTTTTATTGTCTCATTTCCCAGTGTACTGAATGTCCTAGACTGTTGCTTGTTGGATTAGGATTGTCAACAGCTGTGCAGGAAATTGAAGTAGGATGTCTGTCTGTATTCCCCCATTAGAATTCTAAAGCATATTTATTTATTTGTCATATCCTCCCCAGCTACTGCACCACAAGTGCTTTTTAATCAAGTCATTTCTGACTTATGGTGACCCTAAGGCAAGCTATCATGGCGTTTTCTTGGCAAGACTTGTTCAGAAGAGGTTTGCCATTGCCTTTCTTTGAGACGGAGAGCATGTGATTTGCCCAAGATCAACTAGTGGGTTTCATGGTCAAGTAGTGAATTGAACCCTGGTCTCCAGAGGCTAACACTCAAACCACTATGACACACTGACTTTCTTCCGAATCATTCTGGGGATGTTGGGAGTAGATGAGTCCCTTCTGATCTCTGACTTGCTTGTGCAGTCTAAATCAGTGTTTCTTATTTTATCTAATATGTAGGCAGTTTTTTTCCCCTCAATATGCCATGTCATATTTGTGCTCATAGATTACAAGTGTTTGTTTCTTTCCTGAGGACTTGCCACAGATGAGCAGTCAATAGCCCACAAACTGGTGCTGGTCCATGATCACCACTTTGAATAGCACTGATCTAGATTAGCTATTTAAAACATTTTACCTCATCTTACCTTTAAAAAAAAAAAAGGTCCATGCTCTTCCAATGGAAAGGGGAACTGCAAAACTGTTAAAGAAATTTATTCCATAGGAGCAGATTTACCATTTAGTGGTAGCCGCTGTTAATTGGAGGAGATGTGGTTAACCAACATCTGATCTGTATCTCATAAATTACTTATACCATTCTGACTGAACTGATATATGTTAGGGATGTGGATATCTGGGTTTTGTTGTTGTTGTATGCTTTAGGTTGTTTCTGATTTAAGGGGTTTTCTTGGGAAGATCTGATCTAGTAACAGAATAATCCTATGCTCCTTTCCAGGTCCATGTATGTAGGCTTGTCATGTGTTGATTAAGCCTAGACAATGTTGTTGTTGTTGCTGTTGTGTACCTTCAGGTAAGTTCTGACTTAGGGTATTTCTAAAGTGGACCTATCATAGGGTTTTCTTGGCAAGATTTATTGAGACAAGGTTTGCCATTGCCTTCTTCTAAGGCTGTATCACTTACCCAAATATCCCCAGTGAATTTTCATGTCTGGGAGAGGATTTGAACCTTTGTCTCCTGAAGTCCTAGTCCAGCACTCAAACCGCTGTTCCACATTGGCTCTCTTGGGGCTGTTTATAAAATTAATAAATGGGTTCTAGAGCTTGAACTCTCATTAGAAGTTGAAACACTAAGGTTTTCATATTTTGGGTGTAGCATGGGAAAATGTGACTCTTTGGAGAAAAAAATTCTGGGAAGGGCTGAAGGTAAAAGGAGAAGAAGACAACTACATTTCAGATGAATGGACTGAATCAAAGAAAACATAGTCCTGAGTTTGCAAAACTTGAGTAGGCTGTTAATAATAGCATTTTGGGAGGTGCATCATTCATAGGGTAACCATAAGTCAAAATCTACTTGATGGCTCATAACAAGTAATAGTCTGTAAAAGAAAAAAAAATTATAGGCATGTTGTGTCTTCTAAATTTTTTTGAATGGGAAAGTTTCCAGTTTTTACCACTATCACCCCTTCTCCCCTGTTGCTTGGTTTATCACAGCAGTAGCAGCTGCTACTATTTCCTTTTCTTTCATTGTAAATCTGAAACAATTATTACTACATAGGAGATTAGGGTTTAGAAGTCTGTGGCCCTCCAGATGTTGGACTACAACTCGCCCACTCCTCATCACTGATAGTGCTGTTTGGAGCTGATGGGAGTTGTACTTCTTCAACATCTGGAGGGCCCATTTCTGCCTTATTCTTGAAGGCTGCTTTTATAAATTTCCATGCACACAGTAAGACTGAGTAAATGCTTTCCAAAAGGGAAATGCTTTACTGGCAGCCTCGGCAGACGGCTTATTGAGCCGTCTTGGAGGCAGGGAAGAGGAAGGGCAGCCGCACGAGCGGCGCCCCTTCCTCCTCCCGAGGTTGCCCTCGGAGCTGCCAGCCCTCCGCACGGCCGGTGCTCCGAGGGCAACCTCCTGCCGCAGCGTCCTCACACGCTGTGGCGGAAAAGTCAGGGAAAGTGCGCCCTATGCGTTTAGGGCGCACTTTTCCTGACTTCTGAAATCTGGGTCCTTAAATACAGTTGGAGTTCATTTTGCAGTAGTTCAAGCAAACACAGGCAACAGTCATCGATTCTGGGAGTTGTAAGCCAATAAAATTGGGCAGCTAAGACTGAGCACATATCATCCCATATCCTGTCTCATATTGTATCTGCTTTCTTAGCTTGCCATAAAGGAAGTAGATTTTTGTGAACAGGACTATAAGGGATGGAAAAATATTTTAATATATACAAAAAATGGGTGAAAACATTTTTTTTAAGTGTCAAGAAACCCTGACAAGAAGATTAACAGCCATCTTTGCAGTTTAGGACATATTAATCACAAAATTTTGCACAGGGAATATTATTTTCTTTGCAGGACAGCATTTTTCTGTACAGATGATAACATTTCCATGCAGAAATGTTGCTATCGATGTATCTATGTAGACAAAGCAGTTAACGTCTCAGAAAATGCTATTTTCTCTGCAAAACAACCACATACACATTTTGTGCAGCATCAGTCCTGAATTGTGAATAGACTTTGAAAATATTGTGGTTTTTGAAGATTTTCTCATAATAGAAAGAAAATTGCTATAATCACTCGTTTTCTTTGAGAAGAAAATTACTGAAGAATTACATCCCTAAGGACTACTAAGGCAGGCTATCCTGGAGCGGCACCTTGTAAGCATCATAGAGAGAGTGACCTCTTTCAAATGGAAATGAAACCTGGGTAAGTACTTCTCATCCCTCAGAGATATGGGATGAAGGCAGCAACACACACCCTGGGATTTGGTTTGTGTTTTGTGTTTAGATATTTCCAGATGTTTTAAAAGCATAGGATAATTCAGTTTCTCGGTAAAGTCTACTTCTCACTTTACACACAGTTCTGATGTATTGCATTTTCCTCCTAGGGTTGTTGCTGCTCTCCATGTATTATCCCACTTTCTTGGAAGCAGAGCTTCTGGAAAGCATCAGGCAGAGTGAGGCAACCACCTCTTTGTTTTCTGTGCAGCCTGAGACAGCTTTGCCTTTACCTAAACTAATCTGCTGCCCTCAAATTACAATTGGAGAATTCCATCTTGTCACCATCATTGAAGGAAGATTTAACAGTCAGATTGATCTCTTTTTGTATATGCAAAGGGGGTGGCTGAGTGGGTTTGCAGAGGTGCCTTTTGTTCTTCACTGCAGGCAGTGAAATATTTTGGATCAGATCTACCAAGAAGGGAGCCACTTATATATTTTGAAGAGCTGCAGTCTGAGCTCCTTCCAAATGAACTGGGACAATGTTGTACTACTACTACTACTACTACTACTACTATTTATGTATTTATTTATATCCCACACTTTCCCCAAAACTGGGACTTAGGCAGCTTATAATATTAAAAAACTACAATTAAAAGCATGCAAAAAGAGCACATTAAAATATAATTAAATTAAATACTACACTTTCATAGTGCTATTATTCCTCCTCTACTCCTATGGCTACCACCTGTAGAATCCTGGGATTTGCAGTTAAGAGAAAGGCATTTAGAATTCTCAACTAGAGAGCTCTTAAGCCTCACTACAAATCCCAGAATGCCACAGGAGGCAGCCATAGCAGTAAAAGTAAAATAATAGTGCTATAATGCTGTAAAGTGGTATTAGTCCTGGACCCTTTTCACACTACGTAGAGTTATCACATTTTGGTACCACTTTAACTGCCATGGCTGCATCCCATGGCATTGTGGGATTTCTAGTTCCTAGAAGTATGTAGAATTCTCTGTCGGAAAGTAGTAGTGCCTCGCTAAACTACAAATCCCAGGATTCTGTAGGATGCTACCATGTCAGCTAAAGTGATATAAATGTGAAAAGGGCCCTGGACTGATGTTAAAGTACAGGATGATTATTAGACCACTTGATTTCTCATACCTAAGTTGATAATTGGAATCTTATGAGACTCTGTAACTACTTTTTATTCCTCTTCCAGTGGTTGATAATTTCATGAGATTCAAATGGGGAATAAATTCTTACTTGAAATCTCATCCTTCCCAGCTCAGCTCCATGATGTGCTCCAGTCATCCTCAGTTATGTATATCCATGCGTAAGCGGGGAGCTGGGAGTTGTCGCACATCTGAACGGTACCAGGTGGATGAAGGTTGCTTTAAGACATTGTAAGAAATTAAATCAAATTACCTTTTTTAAAAAATGTCCAATTATAGGGTCTTTGTTTTTAATAATGAAATTTTGCTATAACTAAATTTAGAGCATCCATCACGGTAGCTTTAACATAAACTGTCTAAGAATGCTAGTCTGTATAGGCAGTGGTGTCCCTTAGCTAGTTTGCACCAATTTGCCAGAACCAGATGTTAAAATTGTTGAAAGACAAGGAGGCTGGAGCAGTTAAAAAGGAAGCCAGGCGCAGTGAAGGGGACAAAGAAGACAGAGAAGTGAGAGAGACAGAAGAGAGGGGACAACTGGATCCTCCAGAGTGATGGAGGACAGCTAGAGATGCAGATATGCTGATCACCCTACCATCCAGTGTGATCAGCACATCTGCTGGAGGAAGCACCAGTCGTATGTGGACATGGAGGAACAACGTTGCCTGGGATCCGGACACTGAGGCAGCAAACGCCCCCAAAACCTGTTGTTAATTATTTTGAATGACACCATAGCCTCTATATCTGCTGGAAATCCAAATACCCTAGAGGCACAGATCCTGTCTGATCTTGGAAGCTAAGGAGGGTCAGCTTTGGTCAGCATTTGGGTGGGAGACTGTCAACAAATACCAGGTTGTAGGCTATGTTACAGAGGAAAGAACTGGCATAAACTACCTCTGTGTTCCTTGCCTAAGAAAACCCTATGAAATTCATGAGGTTGCTATAATTCAACAGGTGACTTGAGGACAATATCAGTGGCCTCTGAGTAGATGGAATATATAGACATAACACTTTACCCTGGTCTTTGATTTTTGCATGAAAGTGTTGAAGTTAGTGAAAAGGACTTCATTTAAACAGTGGAATCTGCATCTTGAAAGTGCAATGCTATTCTGTGACAGGCAGAAATTCACCAGGTTTCAGTTTTGTTGATCTGGAAGCTTAGGCACTTCTGCCTATTGAACATTTATCTGCCTGTTTTACTCTGTGGCATACTATAATTTTAGGCTTCCATTCCAATATTATGCAATGCAATGCAGTGTCCAGCAGGGGATGCTAAGCTACTACTACCTTAAACCAAGAATGGACCACAGGAAAGATGAAATCTATTTTTAAACTCAGGCATCCTAGCACCATCTCTTCTACTGTAGCAATAATTGGATGTAAATTTTGCCCTCCTTCCATCTCATTGTATGGAACATTTTGTAAATGTGTAATATAAGAGACAGCATGGTGTGGCAGTTTGAACACTGGTCTAGGACAAATCCCCACTTAGCCATGGAAACCCACTGGGTGACCTTGGACAAGTCACAGTCTCTCAGCCCCAGAGGGAGACAAAAGTAACCCCTTCTGAACAAATCTTGCCAAGAAAATCCCATGATAGGTTTTCCTTAGGCATGCCATAAATTGGAAACAACTTGAAGGCGTATAGTATTTTTAAACTTAGGCACTGTATCGCCATCTCTTCTACTGCAGCAATAATTAGATGCAAATTTTACCCTCTTCCCCCACCCCAAAATAATCAGGCAAAATTGGACCACTAAGACTTAGGAATTATCACTCAGATATGTACTAAATGATCAAACCTGGAAAGAAGGAAGGAAGGAAGGAAGGAAGGAAGGAAGGAAGGAAAGAAAGAAAGAAAAGCAAGCAAGTCGTTATAGTTGATCCTCCCAGGAATAACCAAGATTGCATCCAATCTACCCTATGCACATTTACTTCGGAAGCTATATTTCTGAGGAAGGCAGTAGCAAACCACCTCTGAGTGTTCCTTACCTTAAAAAAAAACACCATGAAATCCATATGTTCGCAAATGACTCGAAGGCGCACACAGAGAGAGAGAGAGAGAGAATACTGAATACATAGAAGGGGATTTTAAATGTGAGAAGTCATTTGCCCTTCCCTAGACAGTGTGGTGTAGTGCTTTAAGTGTTGGACTTGACTCTGAAGTA